AGCACCAGCGTGTCACTGCCAGGGTTTAAATCCCACAGGCTGTGTCCTCCCGGGCTGTCCCCATCACACGTGCTCACAGCATCGTGTGGCAGGGACCCCTCCTCACTGCTCCCTGGGCACGGTGCTGTGGGGGATAGACCTGCCCTGCACCCCACTGTGCCCACTGCCTGTGGGTCCCAGCGACTCAACTGCCTGGGGACGTCCCTGGGGTGGCACATCACCATCTCAAGGTCCAAGCAGAGGAAAGCCATGGGACTCCTCATCAGGTTCAGGTCCAAAATGAAACCAGACCATGAAGACCCACGGACGGGGCTGGGAAGGGACCCCAGGGTCCGGTTACCCATCCCAAGTGGTGACAGCAGCTGGCACAGCCACGCAACTTTGCTGAGCGCTGCGGTGAAATGGGCGCAGGCGGCTCCGTACGCATGTTTCTACTTCTCTGGGCCCAGGCCAGCCTGGATGTCCTTAATTGCCCAAAGGTCAGTGTCCCCGAGCCCACGGCCACGTGTCAGAGGGACCTCGGGCAGGAACCTAACATGGACACGAGTCATTCGGGATCAACGCTGGGGGCCAGGAAATTGCAACAGACACAAACCTAAATACACTGCGCGTCCCCCCCAGGTAATCAGGGTCCAGGCCAGATTCTGGCTGACAGCTTAAATGCCTTAATTCCTCGGCCGCTGCGGTTCAAGGGGGTCCTGTGTGCTGTGGGCTTCTCCCAAACGGTCTCCAAGCTGGAGATTTGTCTGTAATTGGAGGCATGTTGCATTCCCCTGAAAGTAGCCAGGTCCCGGTGGAGGGGGCTGCGGGAAGGCAGCAATTTCCCTTATGGAATTATTTACCTGATTAGAGAGTTTATTTTATCAAAATTGCTTCAGAATGGGAACGCTCGGTGTGTCCAGCGTGGGGAGCTCCTCGGTGGGGCAGGCGGCCTGGAGACAGGTAATTTGTGTGACTAATGGGACTAATCCACCAGGCAATTACACCAATAGATTTCACGGCTGCAAAGTGCTCTGTTCCCATTAATTAAAAATCTGTTAAGAAGATTAGCACGTAAAGGTATCAAAAGAAACCTAAGCATTTCTTTCCCCACCAGCCCCCAAAGGCGAGTGTGGGAGTGCTGGATTGCTCGCATTAGCACAAAAATTATTCTTTTAAAGGTAAGGGCTTCGCATCCAAAGTAACTGCTGACAGTTTCCCCGACTTCCCTACCAAGAGGTCCTTTATGTTTAATTATAGTTTGTTTAAATTAGCCCAGATTGTTCACATGGAGTGTTAGTTTAAATATATTTGGAACGTGCGGTTCCCCTGTGTGGTGTGAGGGGGGCAGCCTCTGGCCAAGCCCTGTGCCCTGCCAGGTGTCCCCAAACACGGAGCTGATGCTCAGGGTTCCGCGGGAAGAAATGGGGGTGCGGCATCCCTTGGTTGAGATGGTCACAGCAGAGCAGGAACCAGGGATGGCAGTACCTGGCATTGGCACCAAAGCCAGTTCTGCAGCTGGGCTGTGGTGGGCACCATGGTGGTCTGCCCCAGTCCCACCAGTGGCTCCTCTGCTGCCAAGACCCCCGTGCCATCACCTCCCGCACCCCGTGGACACCCCGCTCCCGTCCCACTGCTGCCACCACCGGCTCGGCACTGCTCGGCCACCAGTGCCACTCCTGGCCTTTGTCCGTGGGCAAACGCTGCGCAAAACAAAAGCAAATTCCCCGGCAGCTGAAGGTGCCATTTTTACGGCTGTGAACAAGGAAGTATTTTTTGATCCCTTAAAAATCCTGAATATTATCTGACAGTTTATCTTGTTTCTCCCGCATCCGTGTCTTTGCAGCAACGCCAGCTCATTTACATGTGTATTGCGCCTGCCTCCACGGGTGCTGAGGTCAATTGAAACTCAAGAAAAGAGGAGAAATTTATGCAAAACTGTTGATTGCATTTGTATGTAATGAAATCATCCAATATTCATCTGACTATAGACTCTAATCTGAAAGGAGAAGTGAAGGACATAAGAGTCACTGGAAAGCAATAATGAGCTTCTGTAGTGATTAAAAAAGCACTTGAGCTTTCTGAAAATCCAGCCAGAAATCGTGTCTAATCAACACGGAATATAGGAGGCAGAGATTACATTGATACATTTTGCAAAGCTCACTGTTGAAAATGTATGTGAGCTGTAAACTCTGACATGCCATCCATGGTCTGTTTTATACAAATCCGGGCGGCACACAATCAGCGCCCAGGCTCGTCCCTGGCACAAAGCAATCTTGGTGTCTCTGCTCGATGACTCACAAGGAGCGCAATCACATCTATTTTGAAGAGCAATGTTGGTTTTTAACTATGTCGAGAGCTTCCAGCTTCCTCGGAGTTTTTCCTTCCTTTTGCCTCCACTTTGCATGTCCCCACGGCCATGAGGCTCAGCCCAGGAGGTGTTGGGACCCCAGTGCCCACCCCAGTCCCCTCTTGGTGGGGCTTCCCAGGTTCAGCATCTTGGAGCAAACTGGCAAAGCTGAGCAGAGCGGCACGGGCAGCACTGGGAAGGGTGCAGGTTTCTGCTGGGAGGTGATGAGCAGGGATTTGCACAGGGGTATCACTTGTGCTGGGAGCACAGCTCCCTTGGGGACCACCAGCCCATGGCCAGGTGGGAGCCCAACAGTGCCCCAGATCTCCACATGCTGTTGGGAGAGAGCTGCTGGTGAGCGTGGCAGGGTGTGGGGAACCCAGGGCACAACCTGGGGGGGTCCAGCATGATCCTCCCTAACCCCCCTGACCTGCACCACCAAGCAGCATTTGATGCTGAGGCCAAACCGTTTGGTGGCTGAAGCAGTGTCACTGACACCAGATCCACATTACACCCAGCCCAACCATGTTCTGACCCAGGGTCCCTTTCCCTCCTGGGTTATTGGGCACAGCTGGAGCTCCTTCTGCAACCGCCAACAGCATCAGCTGCAGCTTCTTATCAGCCCTGGGTGCAAGCCAGGCTGGAACTGAGTGAGAGGTTCCTGCTGGTGCTGGTGGAGGAAGCTTTTGGATCAGGCAGACCTTGTGCTGCAGCTTCTGGTGTGGAGCAGTGGGTGATCTGCACAGCAAAAGGAAAGTGGGACCTGTCCAGAACCACCCCGTGTGCCGGCCTGCTGTGGTCACAGTGAGTGTCCATCCTCTCTCCTCCTGGGTGGTTCATGGTGGCCATGGGCTGGTGTGGTGCTGTGCACTTGGCTGTGTGGTGGGTGCTGCCATGGTCCTGTGCAGCTGGAATTGCTGGGAATGCAGCTGATGATTTTGGCTGCTCATTTTGTGTGAGGGAAGGACATGAGTGGGATGGGCTGTGGTGGCCCAGCTCTCAGGCTCATGTGCTGCTGGTGCTGGGATGAGAGCAGGATGGGCCGTGGTGGCAGCTCATCCCCCACCCTCGCTGCTGTGCCGGTACCAGGGTGAGAGCAGCAGGTGCTCTGGTTGCTCCTGGCTGATGCAGAGCATGGGGGTGAGGTGAGGACACAAGCAAATGGACTCCCCAAACCCTCCCCTGGCATTGCTCAGAGAGCAGGTTTCTGCCTTTCTTCACATTTTAAAGCTATTTGTGCACCTGGTTTTGCCTCGCCAGTGTGGCCAGCCCTGGTCCTCATCCCACTGCCTCTCCTGTACTCCTTTAGGGACAGACGGCTGCACTGGGGACCAGCAGCTCCAGCCCCAGCCTGGCACTGGTGCAGGTTTACCACTGGGTTTTAATTCATGGAAGGTGGAGTGAGATGCTACAGGGTAAGAAATATCAGTAAACACTTGGGGAAATTTCTCAAACCCTTCAAGCCCAGGCTGTTTCTGGGATGTTGAGGCTGTGACAACAGCAAAAAAAGCTTTTTTGATAAATGTCAAAAGAAATCCAGTAATCAGCTGAAAGCAATTTACTGAGCAATGTAACCACCCTGGGCTCGCCATTTTCCTTTATTCATTTATCATGGCAAGCGCTTTGGCCAAAATACACAAAGCAGAGAAATTGTTGACATGTGGGGCCCTAGCAGAGCAAATCCTTCATCCTCCTTCCCCCTCCCCACTGTGCACAAACTAACTTTTTGGGAGTTGTTTATTTAAGGACTGCAGAGCACTTGGTGCTCTTTGAACCCAAATGCCTTGGGAGCGGCGCTGCGGTGCTGGCCACCACCTTCCCTCCTCTCGCCATCGCCCGGGGCTGCAGGGAGGCCGTTTGCTGTTATTGGGAAGTACCTGCTGGCAGTGAGGAGCTGTGCTCAGAACCCTGCTCTTCTACCTCCTCCAACCCTTAAAATGTGGTACCAGTGGCTAACATGGGCGTTCTTAAACTGGTCAGGGAGGGCTGATGCTGGTTTTGGAAAGTTGCTGTGTTGGTTTTTGGCCTTCTCTGTCCTGGTTAAACAGCCATGCTGACAGCACTGGTTTCGGTTCTCTGTCCAGAAGGTTAAGGAACCACAAAGCCCGACTCTCCTGCCCCAGTCAGTGCTGGGCTCCCTCGTGCTTTGCCAGTGGCCAGGCTGCAGTTGACTGCTGGCCACAGCAATGGGCAAATGCTTCTTTCGGGACGTGTGAACCCAAGGGGATGCATCAACCAGAAACTGGCTGTCCCAAGGCCGCTCCACCACATCTCATTTTGGCTTTATTTTAAGCAAAAATAAATGCTGAGGTTCACTGCAGGACAGCACAGGTCTCCCTTGTGTGGTCCTAGCTGCTGTGAGGTGCTGGCATGCAAACAGCACAGGAGGTGAGCAGGGCAGCCCTTCCTCCTGTGCCTCAGCATCTGTGTGGGAGCCCTTCCAGCAGCCTCCAGTCCTCCTTCCTGCCGTCTCTTTTTTAATCTTAGTTCACCCAATTCTGTTGCCATCTGGATGAGGAAGAGCAAGGAGACCTCCCCCTCCTTCCAGCACAATCCAAGGTGGGGAATGGGAGCACAGAGGTCTGGCAGGGCAGCCCCTGGCCATTGCCCTGGCTGCTGACTGGGCACAGGGGTGCCCGCTGGGGTCCATCGCAGTCCGATCGTGCTCGAGGGGGGAGTGTGTCAATTAGGACGGTGCTTATCCAAGCAGCTCCTTGGTCTTCGCTGCCAGCAGCTTGTCCATCTCAGCCGCAGCACCGTCTGCCATTTGCTGGATCTGCAGCAACAAAAGACAAGTCTGAGCTGTCTGCTAGGTGATGCCAGAGTTTAAAGGGAAAGGAATGACTGGGTCACCTCCTGAAAGAAAGCCTAAAGTTCTAATAAAACCCAAAGTAGTGCTGGGGCAATAACTGGCTCTTCCTGGGGGCCTCCCCCAGCCCTCAGTGATCCTGTGCTCATGTTGCATCTGTACAGTGAGAACAGAATCACAGAATCACAGAACGTTAGGGATTGGAAGGGACCTCAAAAGCTCATCCAGTCCAATCCCCCTGCCGGAGCAGGAACACCCAGATGAGGTTACACAGGAAGGCGTCCAGGCGGGTTTTGAATGTCTCCAGAGAAGGAGACTCCACAACCTCTCTGGGCAGCCTGGTCCAGGGCTCTGTCACCCTCACTGAGAAGAAGTTTCTTCTCCAATTGAAGTGGAACCTCCTGTGTTCCAGTTTGTGTCCGTTACCCCTTGTCCTATCATTGTTTGTCACCGAGAAGAGCCTGGCTCCATCCTCGTGACACTCACCCTTTAAATATTTATAAACATGAATGAGGTCTCCCCTCAGTCTCCTCTTCTGCAAACTAAAGAGCCCCAGCTCCCTCAGCCGCTCCTCATAAGGGAGATGCTCCACTCCCTTGATCATCTTTGTAGCCCTACGCTGGACTCTCTCCAGCAGTCTCTGACAGGGACTGGTCAGAGGCTCTGCAAAGAGACACAGAACAGCAACTCCTGGCTGGGTCTCACAAGTGACTCAGTCGGGTTCTTATTTAACAGAGAGACTTCAAGGGAAGGCAGAGTTGGAGACCTGCTGTGTCAGTAGCAGAGAAGAGAGGGCTTATCTCATCACCTGCAACCCCGCCACAAGAACAAACCAAGTAATAGGAGTGCAGCCTTAGTACCTGCCAAGAGTTCAAGTCACAGATCTGTTTATTTCTTGTAAATAAACAAAGCCTTGCCCAGGGACGAGGTCTCCTGGTAACAAGGGATGCACGCAGCAAGCGTGTGAATGGGACCAAACTGTGTGTGCACTTATTTGAGTGAGCACAGATAAGGGCTGGAGCACATTGGGGTGTTATGCACCGGTTTTACAGGATGGATTAAGACGCACTCGCATCTTAATACCCAAGATCCAAGGTGTATGACAATGACCTTTCCTCATGCTGAAAAAATTTGGGTGCAAGTGAAAATAATACTTGAGACTCTACCTCTACAAATGCAGAAAACCATCTGTCTGCTCTGGGAGAGCTGCTTCCCAACAGGATTCAGTTACAATAGCATGGCCATTTTTCCTGCTTGCACAAACGCTCTGTATATCAATGTTTATTTTTGTGAGCACGCAGAGAACTGTCCCGAAGCATTTGCAATGTATCTAACCATGGCCTGCCTTCAGAGGCATCCATTCAGCAAAACACTTAGGCTTGTGCCTGAGTTTATGCCTAAGTAATTGACTTTAGTGACATCTGCTCTTAGGGAATTAGGCATGTGCTTAAGTATTTTCCTGAATCGGAGCCAAAAACTCCTAACAGAGATAATCTTGCTAGCCTTTTCATTAATAACAAACTGGAGCAAACCTCATTAGCACCAGCTGTTTTGCAATGGCCAGGCACTGCGTAAATGGTGGTAAAGCTATGGATGTTGTTGTTTTGCTTCCCAAGTTCAGCTGGTTTGTGCAACAATCCCTTGCAATACGAAAGCTTTCGGGGAACAGTTTTTTTTCCTTTGTCAGCTTACAGTGGCTCATGCCATAAATTTAGCTTTGAGATTGAAGAGCCAAATCTCACAAAGAAAAAGCAAATGCGACAGCCGTTGCCAACTCCAAAAATTCAGCCCAAGGCCACTCATTTTCAGAGCTAGAGATTTGTCGAGCCAAATATTTGTCAGCAAGGGCTGGGACAAATGCAGTGCTGAGCTGTGAAACATCATCATATGGCTAAAGGGGAAAAAAACCCAGCAAACTTACCTGCTTTTCTAGCAGCCAGAGGGTATCTTCAGACACTTTGCTCTTGAACTTCTTCACCTGATTGATGCTTTTGCTTCGCACCTTCCTCAGGGCCTCTTTGGACTTGTTGGTGGACTGCTTGGCAAGCTTGGCCAGGCTCTCCCTGTGCTCCCTCGTGACCCTAGCAGCGAGGGGAAAGAAAAAACACCAAAAGGAAAAACAGTGTCATGGGGCTTAACAGCTCAGGGTGTGTTTTTGTCCCGCTTTGGTCCACCTGAGCGATCTGGTCGCTTCTGCACAGCACTGCCAGGGTAGCACACTCCAGTTTTCAGTCTGCAATAGAAAGTTCCCAGCACAGCTCTCAGCTGAGGGACCTGGACTGAATCTTACTGAAATGTTCACACTTGCCTTTTTTTGTGCTGCCAAAGCACCTGTGGGAAAGAGGGAAAATCCAGCTCCAGACCTGAGAGATGGAGCTGAAAAATGTAATCCTGCAAAGGCTGGAGGAAACCTCCATTCCTTCCTGAAAGTTGGTGTTCCCTGCAGCTGAAGAGCCTGAATTATATATCTGGGAGCTACAGAGCCAATGCTTTGCTCAATCTTACTCGGCTTTTCCACTAAAATGACGTGAACAACCGTTCTGACAAGACAATGATGCAAGCGATGTCTGGCCACAGGTAACTCGGCCCAGGAAAACTTCAGCTCCACCTTCCCCCCAATGTGGGGCCATTTACTGCTGTGGTGTCACAAGGAAAATCTCAGTTTTCCATCCCAAACTACAGACTGCAGGTGATGAGGGAGCCTGTCCGTCTGAGTACAGCACAGGGATGGCTGATATGTGACCTCAGCTCTGGTAATGCTCCAGCACCTACAGCTGATCACTGTCAACATCAACTGCCAGTGCTTAACAATCACATCTCAGTGTTTTGCATGGCTATTTAAGTTACCAGAACGCCTTGAATATGAAACCCTGGTGTACACACTGAGACTTGCTTGCGAGAGAGCGCCTGCCTTCTCGCAGAAGATATTGCAAAATAAACATTTCACGGGAGTATTTAGAAATTGGCTGCAACAGCCTGGGTCACCAAAACATGGAGGCCAAGACTCTTCCTGCAGAGAGCTCAGGAAACGTGGGGCGAGGACTCCCAGCGCAGCGTGGGCGTGCGTTACTGGGGGGCTGTTGGGACGTGATCGGACCCTCGGCCCTGCCCTGGCTCGCAGTCGGCCCAGCGAGTCCCCCAGATGCCAGCACCATCCCTGGTCGCTGGCAGCAGATGTCTGCAGCGGCGCTGGCCTCTCGCCAGTTCTCTTTACTTCACAGTGCAGGGAGGGAATTGGCTTCCCAGAACCCGTTAGCAATTACAGGAATTTGGGAAAAGCTGACAGACCCAGAGAGCAGCCACCCAGCCCCAGTGTCCCCTCACAGGCACCCTGTCCTTGCCTGGGGACACCCTTGGTCCATCCTGCTCCCTGCTGAGGGACAGTCCGAGGGGGATGACCAGTGAATTTCACATGTGGCAAGTGGCTTCTGGTCAGCACAGGCTCAAGCCTGGAACAAACATCTAATTAGAAGTGAGGGGGGTTACTTGTGGTTTCCTCTGCATCCCAACCTCGATGCCTTTAGGGCTTCTCGTGTTCCATCTCCCCAGTCAGAAGTCCCGTGGCACATGTGAAACCAGCAACGCCAGCTCCCAAACAGAGGTCTGGGCGAGGTCAGATTCTCAGGCAGCTTTTTGGGAGTGCAGGGAGTCAATCCTGGCTGCTAAACCCAGAGGAGGGAGCTGGAAATCTCTGCCATCTCCTGCTGGGTGGCGAGGCAGCGGGGCTGCCTCTGCTGTGGGAGACGGAGCTTGCCGTCAGCGATTTGCCTCCCCGCTCCCACTCGGCTTTTGCGAATTGTGCTGAGGGGATCACTCG